TCCTTTTTTCTGTTTCTTTTAATATTCTCTTCAGAAAACTAAACAGGGGAAAAAACACAGGGGCAAAGCTGCAGCAAAATGTTATTAGAGTACAAAAGCCATAATAAATATCTTACTTCACAACTGTTATAAAAGTATTTAGAGGCCCAGTTCTCGTTGGTTTTAACAAAACTACACACCTAAATAAGCTTACAAATCTAGTCATCAAACCCCAAATCTGAGTCAGCAGTTTTAAAATGTCCTGAGATTCATTCATAAATATTTGCAAACACTTTGAGGGAGCTATTTACAGGCTGAGTCTTAAAAGGGACAGGAAAGCATGTCCTTGCTCCCCAGTTGGGGCACATGTTCTTCACCCTGCCTGCACCGTGTCCCTCCTCACTATGCTTGCCACAGGAAGGACCTCAGACCTTCAAGTCAGCAGCAGTCTGCAGACGGCTCAGATTGTCTCCAGTCTGGACGGGGAGCTATGGGACAGTGTGATGTAACTAGCCATGACTCTAAGCTAGCCATACCTAAAGTCAACCACTGTTGGTATCTGGTAAAGCATCCATTTTAATGATTCTTCGTTCATTTTGGATAAACCATGACATTTCAGGGCTTATCAGCAGGTGTAAAACAGGTAGTATTCCATGTAGTAAAGGGCAGACCCTGATGACCTTTGAAAAAACCAAGCTACATCAGCTTAATGAAGTATCAAAGACACAGATTTGAGGCCTGAATACGGGACACCCAACCCTAAATAAGCCATTGCTTATTCGTTTAGTTTTTGTTGTGACTATTTTACTCTTGCCACATGACTAGTTAAAAGGCTTTGGTAATATTTATGCCTAAAAAAAAATACTTAATGGCTTTTTCAGATAGTATTAACCATCTTTTTCTCTCAGGGAATCCAAGGGGGAATTGAGGGGTTTTATCTCCTAAGGAGATACACTTGGAATCATACAGTATTAGTAAGAAAGCAGTAAGAAAATCAAATTCTCATTGCTCAAGAGCCTCCCATTTGCCCATTTAAGAGGCTTCATTTTAATTGGCTTACACATAGTATTTATTTCAGCTACATTCAGAGTAGCTATAATTTTGTCTTCCTCACATAGTGTTGCATCTTCACCAAACTACTAAATCAAAAGAATTCTGCTAAGTCAAAATTGTTCAACAGATTTTTGATGTGACCTCCCTTATATGCTGGTGAAAAAATGATTAATCACATGTACATCAGAAAAGTCAATTCTTATTTAAAGGACAATCATGCGCACCTATGCAAGAAATCTACTGCCTTTTGATAAACCTTTGTGCCAAGGTGACTTTCACAACCTAAAATAGTCTCAAAAATGTAATTTTGCAGCACCTGTGTAAGTTCATAACCTAAACAGTATCTAGAAAATACCTGCTATACCTTGCACATATTTCTGTACATGAAGACAGAATACACAATACTCCCAAAGGACTGAACCTTTACTGTGCCACAGGATTTTAAAAAGGAGTTGGAGGCCTACAGGTCCAAAGAAAGATCATTTGAATGAAAGACACACTGTGGAAATGACTCAAAAGAGATCTGAGCACACACAGGGAAGCGCAGTGATGTAAAATGTGTGTGCCAGAGCAAAAAAATCTCTCCCTCGAGGAAGAACTTACAGAGCACACTCATTGAAACTATTCCTGACTGATTATGGTAGGCTGAGCAGCTCAAAAAGATAAGAGTTTAAAACATTTGCAGCTAGGCATTCATACTTCCAAAGAATTCAGCAGATGATCTCTTGGCAGTCTATGTCCAATAGCTGTCTATTCAGATAGGATGATGGCTGTTCATTATCAAATCATCTCTTTGCCTAAGGGTCTTGGCAAACCTGTTAATGATAAATTTGGCTGAGCAACCTGGATAACACTGGAAGCAATATTGCTCTGCAGAAACTTTCTGCTGTGTGCCAGCAGAGATAACCTGCCATTGCAAGGTTGGCTGAGCAACACAAAGAAAAGTTATACGTTTTGGGTTTCTTTCTTAATACAAAAAAGAACCGCAGGTGTTTTATTTATTTATGAGGATTCCTCACATTGCTGAGCAAACAGCTACAAATCGAAAACTAAAAGTATGTTAGTTCCCAGTATTTAACTCTTCTCAGGATCTGAACATACCACGGTAGTACACTGTTTAGCATTCTTTAATCTCTATTAAAACTGTATTTTCCTTTCTTCTGCAGAAAGTATACTATGTGTAAATGAGATGAGCTTACAGCTCAGATGATTCTTGACACATCCTGCCAAGGCAAATATTCATCCAAACAGCTAAAATTCCTGTTCCTTATCCTGCTCATCCAAAGCTTTCTCAGAGCCAGAAGCTGGGGAAAGCCAGGCCTTCTGGACAACCTTCAGCTCTTCCTGTATGTTTCTGGTTACAGTCTTTTTGCAAACAGAGCAGGGGGAAGCCGCACCATAGGGAACAGCTTCATTTAACTGAGCTTCTCTCATTACAACTGAGCAGCATGAGTGCCTCTACCTGAGTGTGAAGTCAATATGGAGTGGCAAACTCAATGGAAATGGAATAAGCTTGAACCCCCTTCCTTAAGTATTTGAATTTGTACTGAAATGAACAAGGGACAGAGTGTTAGCAACTCCCATTTCAGAACTAATAATGAAAAGCTGTTTGATCAAGTCATTTTCTGGGCTCAGGTGATCCTGAGGGCACACCAGCCCAAGGCAGACCACGCAGCACACTGAAGATCTGGAATCAGAGTAATCAGTGAAACCATCCACTACTGATTCTGCTACCAAAATCCTCTGTGTGTTACAGGGTTCATCAGTACTTTTCAACTATATAAAAATCATTTGGGCTAAAGATGTGGATGTGCAATCCATGAGACTCCAACAGTAATTAATAAATGAGGACATTAAAGGGTTCACTGATGACCATGTTGAAAGGAAAACAGAGAAACTCATTGGCATTTTCAGTTTTTGCCAAAGCTTGCCTGCACAGGATCAATATAGGTATAAGGACAAATATGTCACAATCCAAAATCCAGAAGCAAGGCCTCAGCCCTACCTTGAAAACATTAGCAACTCACAGCTTCCCTACGGCTTTTTATGTAATCATGTCGTGCAACCAGCAGAGCTCTCAACCAGAGAGAAAGCTTCTGGCCTATCTTCACAGCTATCATCTTCTTTCCCGCACGGAAGTGTCACTGAAAGTGCCTGTCACACTTCAGGATGAGCTGAGCTGTAGCACGGAGAAAAAAGGCTCCTATTTCAGATACCTTTGGCCAATCCATATGCTCTACTCATATCTGGCATGTTCAGGGAATCTAATTTAGAGTAGTAAAGACTATCTCACAAGAGGTAGGTGGATCCCGAAATACCCTCCCTCCAGATTTCTGGCTTAATGTAAAAGCTGCTCCTCTTTTATATCAAAGGAGTGGATTTGTTGAAAGAAAAAAAAAAATATCTATATATAGTCAGTGCTGAATCAGTGTGAACAATCCAGGGAAAAAAAAAGCCAAATACAAACAATTTTCAGTTTTTAAGGCCAGAAAACATCCTTTCCTTCCAAAAGCTGGTCACATTTCATTAAAGAGTAGTGCAGATTTAACTTAAGGTGGAATTTTTTCCACTTATTCTACAGCTCTCTCCCATTAGAGCTTGTAGCTGCCAAAACTCCTCCATCACCTCTGTTCACGCTCATGAGAGCAATATGACAGCAATGTCCTCCCTCTTTTTTTACCCATTCACCAGAGTTCCTGGACACATTACTTACAGCCACCAATAAATTTCAGCATCACCAAATTCGCAACTCCATTTATTAAACCATATCTTTTGGACTGTATTGTTTTCTTTATTTCACAGTCTGAAAGCTATGTTCTGGCCTTTGGTCATATTTCTGATAGGTCCAGCTTCTAAATAATATATATTGCTGTGACTCAAGGCAACAGACATTCTTATCCTTCTTTCAAAGGACTATACTTGCCTCATTTCCCCAGTTCCACTTGTCTTTGATTTAACTACTGAGATGGGAGAGCAACCTTTCTGAGCTTTGCTACCCTGGCTAATAGCTCTAAACATTCTGGATTAATGATGCTCTGGGTCACTGGACATGGCTGTCACTCTTGTATGAAAGGGTACACTTAACAAAAATGGTTATAATTCCCCAAATGCTCCCAATTGAAAATGCTTCCTTTAGTATTCCTACTTCAAACAATAAAACTAGTGAATCAAGCCTTCAGTTTAAATGCACAGGCAAACACCCTCAGATTGCTTTGAAAAGATACTCCACATGCAGAGGGTGGGTGGAAGAGGTGACAGCGTCTCTTCTGGAACACAGACAACATAATACGGCACACCACTTATGCCATGTTACTGACTTGCTGGTTTTCCAAAACAGATTTTGTTGTACTGAAATCAGGCAGGTGTTTACTTCAAACATCTATGTGGTTACTTCACCATTTGAAGATGAGAATAGATAGTGGGCAGACATCAGCAGGTTTTCCTTATTACCACTGCACTTTGGACTTCTAAATTATGCCTAATAATTAATGAAGTCAGGATTATATTTCCAGATTATATTATTGTCAGTACAGGGATGTATTGACAACTATCAACTGTCACTGAAATCAATATTACAGACAGAAAATGATAGCTGTTTTTAAACAAGGTCAGAACCTCATTTGCTCTAAACCCGTGTAGGACCACTGAGAGTGTGATGCAAGACATTTAAATTTGCCAGCACTGACACTTTCCTTTCACACACTGGCAAGTAATACTCTTTCAAACAGCTTCTTTGCTGAGTGACCAGAAGAGAACTTGCAAACCTTTACCAAGAGCAGCAGTTTCAAAGGCACAAATGGCAGAAGAGTGCTCTGTCTCCTGCTATGTCTCTGCAGGAGTTAGAGGTCTAACTACCACTTATGCCTCTTCCAAGCCCCTCACTACTGCCTCTCTTCCTATCTGTCAGACAACTCTTTGGAAAACTGTTTTTCTTGCTGCTAAAACTGACTTTCTCTTCTCATACTCAGAATCCAAGCCAGAAACCAGTGTGAAGATAACTTACCTTTTTATTTGCTCTACTCCAGTCTATTCTCATGGAACCAGGAGCCTTTCAACCACCAGCACCCCTTTACTATCATTCTCCTCTGATACAACCTAGATTCAGCTAGCAAATAACCAAACATAAAGTACTGAGGAGAAATATTGCAGACTTCCTTAGACTAAGAACTAAGGATTATTATGAAAACTGTTTCTCTCCTGGCAATACCCATACCATAGAAACAAAAAAAGCCTTGGTGTTCTCCAGTAACTACATGAATCTGTGAAAATAACCTGTTCCTTATCACCTTGACACCAATGCACAAAGCTTTTCACTCCACAATCCATCCCCTTCTCCAGCTGTCTTGATGTTTAGATGATAGCATAGAAAAAAACTTTCAACAATGAAGGCGGACAAATGAAAGGTGGTAGGAGGAAGGAAGTGCCTCCTGATCATCTTCCAGTAACAAGAACATCCAGCCTTAAATTATTCAACCCACTCTTCAATTTTGGAACCTTTCAAGATGCTACGTTATTGGCTGCCCAAACTGCCATGGCAGCAAAAATAAATAAACTTCCAACTGCAATGACCCCGAAATAGATTTTCTAATAAGAAAACAGACCTTATAAACTGGAGTGTAGGAGTTCTCACCTTGATTATTGCAATCACAGAATCACAGGGTGGTTTGGGTTGGAAGGGACCAGTCCAATCCCCCTGCAAGGAGCAGGGACATCTTCAAGTAGATCAGGTTGCCCTGTCCAACCTGATCTTGAATCTTTCGAGGGATGGGGCATCTACAACCTCTCAGGGCAGTATGCCCAGTGTTTCACCATCCTCATTGTAAAAAATTTCTTCCTTATATCTAGTCTGAATCTACCTTTTCTAATATAAAACCCTTGTCCATCACAACGAGCCCTGCTGAAAAGTTTGTCCTCATCTTTCTTATACCTTCCTTTAAGTAGTGGAAGGCTGCATTAAGATCTCTCCAGAGCCTGCTGTTCTCCAGACTGAATGACGCCAACTCTCTCAGCCTTTCCTCATAGGAGAGGCGTTCCATCGTTCTGACCATCTCTGTGGCCCTCCTCTGGACCCACTCCAACAGGTCTATGTCTTTCTTGTACTGGAGATGCGAGCTGAATCCAGGTGGGGTCTCACGAGAGCAGAGCAAAAGGAGAGAATCACCTCCATTGACCTGCTGCTGGTGGTGCAGCACCAGGACACAGGTGGCTTTCTGAGCTGCCATCACATATTGCCAGCTCATGCCCAATTTTTCATTCACCAGTATCCCCAAGTCCTTCTCCACTCTCAATTAATTCATCCCCCAGACTGTACTGATGTTGTGAATTGTCCCAACCCATGTGCAGGACCTTGCACTTGATCTTGTTGAACTTCATGAGGATTGCATGGGCCCACTTCTTAAGCCTAGATGGCATCCCTTTCCTCTAGCATATCAACTGTACCACTCAGCTTGATGTTATTTGCAAACCTGCTGAGGGTGCACTTGATCCCACTATGTTGTTGATAAAGATACTCAATAGTATTGGTCCCAGTATGGACCCTTGAGGGATACCATCTGTTACTAGTTTCCACTTGGACATCAAGCTACTGACTGTAACTCTTTGGACATGGCCAATCATTGTACTTAAGAATGAAACCACCTAAAGAATAGACCTCAGAAGACTATTTACTCATCAATATCAACTATAAGGTACACACCAGTTACGTTCTCCACTCAGTCTCTGACCTGTCCTGCAAAGTACCACTGGAAATGGCTCTGAGAGGAAGCATCTAAAACTGGCACTGTCCTGTATCAAGAAAACACTTTGAAGGAGGAAAGAACTTCACTATGGCTTCATTCATACATACATACATATACGGAACCCACTTTTAATGCTGCTTCCCTGGAAGAATGTGCTGCTGAGCTGTTGTATGTACTGCTGGCCACCAGATACAATATTCTGATAAGAGCTACAGACACCGACATTCACTATTTCTTGCTATTGCTCCTGTTGAACAGGAAAACACAAGCTGGCTCAGATGGCACACACCTTGTGATTTGTTTGAAACACATTCAAACAAAATCTTTTCCACCCACACCAAAACAACAAGAAAGCGAGAAATGAAAACTCTTTTTCTGCCCCAGAGTTTCAAGGGGTATTGGAATGTATACTGCTCTGGTTGGATTTAGCCTTCACAGAACTGCCTCTTTAGAAATTCGGGGCCATGGTATTTTTGAACTCTCTGAGACAGGATCTAATTAGACCACAGGAAAATGCATCATCTGCTTAATAACAGATTCCCATGCCATAAAGCTCTGTCTTCAGTGATCAGTTCACTTAAGGAATAGATGACTACAGAAAGAGACATATGTGATAAGAGAAATATAGATTTATAAACATTTACAAAGCCTACAAATAGAAAATCTATTCATTGTAATAGATACTTCTGTGTACACTTGAATTAGCTTTGTGCTTTTTCCATATTGTGTAATGAAATATAAAATAGAGCCAACATACAACTCAATGCTAACTTTATTTTAATAAATGCTGCTGGAAAAAATTACCTTGTCATGCCAGCAAGCTCAATCTTTGCTACTCCCTAAGCAGTCTTCCTAGCCCTCTACTCTCTTGATTTTTCCTCAGAACTGATTTCTGTTGACATCTCTGTGCATAGCCAGGCGGAAACAAATTGTAAAGCACCCACCACATACTCATGTAGAAAAGTAGAATAAGCAAAATTTTCCTGCCTTGAAGGGTGCTGAAGGGAGACAGTTTTCACTCTGAGTGGGAATAATGGAGGAGTCAGGAAAATGGTTTTCTCCTCGTTTTTTTCATTCAGGTTCAAAGTGTAGCTAATTGCAGTATACCCAAGAGGCAGTCAGACAGCATAGGAGACTAGATTACTTCCTGACCCACTAGACAGGAATATCTTTAAAGAAACTCATTATTATTCAGAGAAATTCATTCTGCAAGGCAGGAGCAGTTTAAAAAACAAATTATTATTTCACCTCTATCTGTATACAAATTAAAAAAAACCAGATACCAGTAGTGCTAACATCTAGTCCCTCCATCATACGCATGTACTTGATGATCAGTTAAGTTTGGGGTCTTTCTAGCCAGTCTGTTCATACCCAGGCGACAGCCAGATCACATGTAATTCAAGGCCCTACAGCCTACTTCAGCTAAGAAGCAATGTGCTATTGTTCTACTACAGTATGTTAGTTTGGTGGACGAAGTGTCTTATTTGGGACACCCTTGTTGTCCTCCTCCCTCAAGGCATATTGCAGCATCCTCTTCTACCCACAGAGGTTTGTACAAAAAACAGCAGATGCCATAGAAGTCATTGAAGTCTTCCTAAAAAAAAGCCATAAATTGAACAGTACTGCCCCACAGACTACCAACAGGAGTACTCAGAAACAGGTAGTACACTGGAATGGGATCCAAGAAACAGAAAAGAATAATGGGCTACCACTGCCTACCCAAATAAATTATCCGTGAAACAGAAGCTCTTCTAAAAAGAACCTGTTCTTCTGCATGGCCACAACAGTGTTGGAGCTGCCTGTAAGGCTAGCAGTGTATGGGGTCTCATTGTGGTGAAGCATTATTTATCATTAAAATAATGAGTTTACCATGTCTACCCTCTCCTTTACAAAGCTGCATTTAAGTAAGCTTTTACTGAAATCAACAGCTCACAATGCCAACAGAAAAAAAAAATTCAAGAACTACCACTGAACCCTCTTTCTTAAATTACTGGGGAAAACTTGGCCAGGCTGTCACCTTACTCTTTGAAATCTACCCATGCCACATGCCTTTTAATGCTGTCACCACCATTTCCCCCATCTCCTTGAGCGAGCAATCATTTTAGGCCTTTTTTTTCCAGGGAGTGAATGGAAGCATGCTGCCGAGTAGCTGATTCAGAGAAATGGAAGTATTTTGTCCTTGCTTACAGGCTTAGTAACAACCATGCTTTTAATTAAAATAGGGCATATTTGAAGAAGATATAACAATATGTGCAACTGCAAGTCTGTGACTACATACATACAGAAATGACCAGGGATTACAGTCTGCACCAGGAACCTAAAATGCATAGTTCCTAGAGAGCACACATAACTAATACAGAATTGCAGAAATGTAGCAGAAAGAAGAAAGGAAGATATAGGAACACAGACAGAGCTTGGCTAACTCACCAAATTAAAGCTTATCATCTGTGCATAAACTTCACTGATGGTTTAATTAAAGAACCAGCAGTAATTTCAGCACCCACATTAACTACTTCAGGATCAGTTCAGCTGCTCAGACCTATTATGAAAACATGAAGGAGGAAACTTTGACTCCATTGGAGTTTGCAAAAATTCTCATCATTGATTCTAATATGATTTTAATTGCACCCATATATTTTGGACGTGATCATGCTGGATACAATTTCTAAAAAGCAAGTCACTTAAAATCAAAGTTCTTTCAAACTTTTGATAAAAACAATTTACTTTGTACCTCTTCGGACCACTTGGCTGCTCTCACTATTTGCACCACCTCCTTTTTAAGTGGGCCTATTTCTCCCACTGTACGTAATTCATATTAAAAGTTCCCACGTTCTGTAGTTCTGTCTCTTCATCGTCTCTTTGGCAAGCTGTAGCATCAGCTCCCTTCAGAATAATCATCCAAGAGACACTTAAACAGTGTGACCTAACAAATTCCCTGCATGTCTTTGCCAATTAAGTCATTAAAATTTTAGTATGCTTCATTTTTTGGTTCTTTTTGGAACTGTAACTTTGTGCAACTGAAATGTCATCACTCTATTTTGGTTTTCCAGGGGAAAAAAAAAAACAACCCTGTCTATATCTCCTAATTCCTTTTCCCATCAAATCAGTAACAGCAATTATTGTTCCCAAGAATTCAGACTAGTCTGTTGATATCATGGTTTTATCCCACTGTTTCCCAAAGCACAAAATAACGTTTCCTAATCAATTATTGCACACCTATTAATGTTGCTTATCTAAAAGCTGCCAGTGAACCACATGTTTTATTCTAGTTTATGATCTCATTTAAATCTCCTTGCCAATGTCTATGCCTATGTGAAATCCAAGTTTCAGAGTATGACAAGCTAAACAGACAGGTTTGAACTCCACCTTCCAGTCAGAAGTAATTACTCACTTTATACCAGTTTAACAGTTTGTTTGTAGCAGAGATCTGGGACAGTTATTAACAAGGATCACTCTACCTTCTGCTGAGGGAACAGCTCTATACACTAAAGCACATAGGACATCAAGACTGCTAGAAGTTCAGCAGAAGCAGTCACTAGTTTTCTCAATCAGAGATGCATTAAGCTGACACCTTGATTCATTTCACAAGAAAGCAGCCTTGCAAAAACCATGAAATTAAATTGAAGCACTAAGGATTTAAGATACAAAGATGAAAATATCACCATAACAAGGAACTTCTGCAGGGGACACTGATCTCAGGGACATATTTCTGCTAGAAAGCCACATTCCATCTGTAAGACAATGCACTAAGGAGTTGTTCTCTGATGGAAATGGAAAAAAGCTTCTTGGAGCTCAATTAAGGCATCAATTTATCTTCCTTTATGTGCACCTAAGTCTGAAAATTGTATATTATACAAATTTGGATACTTTCTTGATGTTAGCTTTTACCTGAATTTATTCTAATGATAATTTCAGCCCTTACAATTGAAGTTCTGGATTGGTTTATGAGCATCACACACAGTACAGCTCATAAAGGCAACCAAAGAGGGTGTGCTCCTCCACATCTTTTCCCAGAGTGGATTTAAGTAGCTACTAAAGTCTGTCTGTCTGTAAGGGTGCTCACTCAGTGACCAAGGCTGCTCAGGATCCACCTGGCACGGAACAGTGGAGAGACTGCTTGAGCCTCACACACCTCCCAGCAAGCTGTTAACCAGTCAGCAAGTGCTAAATAAACTTGTAAAAGAGCCAGGCTGTATTTTAATTTGTGTTGATGCTAAATGAAATCACTCTTGTAACTTTCTGTCTCCAGTCAACCTTCAAACCATCACTTCTATCTTTCTCACAATAACCAGGCTATCAGCATTCACAAATACTTGGAAGACACCACTGGAGTTCAGCCTATTCTGAAACTTTCAGAATGGTTGTATCATTTCTTCCATCCTGTTATTAAGAAGTGTCAGCGATAGCATGCTCCTCTGCCTAAGAATGACAAATGTTACTACTTGGCAACATTAAACCAATTATTTGAAACACCACTTCACAGATCTCAGGAAAATACATATAACCACTTTCCATGTGTTAAATATTAGAAAACTGTATAGTGCTGAAAAAGTACTACTCTATTCTTGTAACCAAAGTATTTTGCATTTGGTTAAAAAATTTCTTCTAATTTTAAACATTCAGCATTACAAACGTTTTATCAAACAAGAAACACTTTAAAGAAATTTCCATTTAAAAAAATATCTTTCATCAGACAGCCCAATGTCTCCAGGGAATTTCCTGTTCAGAACAAAATAAATTAATAGCTTCCTTAATTAAAATATAACGCAGTGAAAAATTAATGGCTAAATTTAATTTTCTTTAAAGCACATTGTTTTACATTCCTTTTAACTGAAATAAAAATGCTCTATTACATTATTCTATGTTAAATATGATAGAAAAAAAAAAAAAGGAGAGTCAATGCCTAGCAGGCTTTTTAACTGTAGTTATGAAAAAGCCTCTACCCATACAGAGCCTTAGGTGATATGGTTTAGTGTGAGGTGTCCCTGCCCATGGCAGGGGAGTTGGAACTAGATGATCTTAAGGTCCTTTCCAACCCTAAATATTCTATGATTCTATATTGTAAAGAATTAGATCAAATTAAATCAGCAATCCATGCACATAGCCCCTGCTAAAATCAACCGGTACATAAGACAGGATAAACCGGGTAAAAGGTCTGTACTGGAAAGCAAATCTAAATCCCTATGTCGGTATGCCCCTCCTTAACTTTAATGCTACAGAGAAATGGGAGGGAAAAGCCCAAGAGATGCTAAGATAAAGAACTAACAAAATCAACCAAAACCAAACCAGCACTTTCAGGAATCCTGCTAAG